TCATCTTCAAATGTTAATAATTTGGAATTAATTAAAACAATAAAAATAGTTCATTTAAAAAAAACGTTTTTAATTATTTAATTCAATTATACTAAAACTTATTTAAATATTATAAATATAATGTAAATGGTCTATTGATTATAGAAGTGTGCACGGAGCTTTACAATGGTCTGTTCTAGATAATTACTGCATAGGAATCCTTCAGCTGAAGCCATCGAAGATTTTAGCAGTGAACAGACACTCCAGTTCTGGTTTGCACAGGTGTGATGAAGCGTTACCTGTCCTTAGTAGAAGTGGAATGAGGCGGGAAAAGGATGTACTGGACTATGCAGGTGTGTTTTTCTCCGTTTAAATCAGCTGACGGACTCTGCATGCACAGTTGTGGCTGAAAGTTAGAGATGCATCACCAACAAATGCTAAAACTGGGATATACTTGTGTAGAGTGTTCATACTTTCACCTGCATTGGCAGTTCTGCCACCATGTTGACGATACCCTCCCCGCTGGCGGCAAAGTGGAAGCCTTCCGACAGACGAATACTGTGCAATCAAAAACAGCTATTAGGAATTCAGCAAATGCTATTGTCAGAAGTGACTTCTTACAGGTCAAGGATGTTTGAGACTCACTCGGAGAGCATGGAGAGGATATGAGCGACTGCGTGCAGCGATACAGCGGTTCCCGGGCCGTTCTGCACGGCCCAAACCCAGCGCTGGTGCAGGAAGTAGCGGGACAGAGACGCCATGGTGGAGGACGCCGTCCTGCTGGCAGCCATGCTGAGAGGGGCGCCCATGATGGGCGGCTGAGCGAACGGCTCCATGTTTAAGATGAAAGGGGTGCGGAAATCTGACGGAAGTTTCTCGTACCTGCAGCAGGATGTCAGAACAAGATTTTGACTAAATCATAAGCTTTTGAAAACCTTTTTGAATGCTTTTGAGTTACAGAGGAACTAATCGGAGTCAATGTTTTTATTTTTAACTAAAACTTAAAAAAAAAAAAGAATACTAAAAATTTATATAAAATTATATAAAAATTGGATTAGAAAATGAGAACTTTAAAGAAATGAAAATTCAGAATGTTGGCATGGCAGCTATCAGAAAAACACAAAACACACTGAAGCTGAAGTACTAAAATTACTAAAACTGAAACAAAAATAATGCTAAAAATAGAAATATTTAAAAAGTAAAAAAAATAAATATAAAAAAAGCACAAAAAAAAGCACAAAATTTAAATGAAAAATTTAATTATATTATAAAATGAAGTAGTCTAATAAAAATGAAAAACTTTAACTAAAAACAGAAAATATATATTTTTTAAATATCAAAACATTAATAAATACTAAATTAGTCCAAAAATAATAATTAAATAACACTTATCGAAGTCTACATTAAAACAGTGTTTGCAAATCACTGTAATTTTGTAAATTGACACATTTTAAAGTAAAACATATTACGGTAAAACAAGAAAAAACTATCTTTGCATTTTAATCCAGTTTATCCATCAGGAATTGATCATAAAAGTGTCCCTACAGAGTTTAAATCTAAAAATGTAAAATATGAAAATAATTTCAGAGTCAGCCAAAAAGGAAAGCAGTTTCAGAGACTAACATGCACCAATGAATCATTAACAATAAGGCGTTTAGACAGAAAACAAGGTCAATTTTGACTTCATGTTGACTGTAGGTCTGTCATAACTTCACAAAGTTAAATTGAGATAACAGTAAAGAGATCTATTATTGTTTATTGTTACGCCACAGACCTGATCAGTAGTTTTTCGAGGGGTTTGTTGAGCACCACCACACACGGCCGGTCAGACAGCGCCGGTTTGGCTGCAGGAAGAGGCGGGGATTTGGAGGGCGACGCGTTACCCAGAATCTTCCGTTTAGTTTTTGGCGTGGCCTCCTTATTCTGAACTCGATGAGGGAACCGCAGCCGAAGGATCTGCTCTCGAAGTTCATCCACAATCTACAGAGTGAGAGTCAGAAACACTCATTCTATTCCTTACAGAGCCGTTCTGAAAACAGCTTTCAAATAAACTGAACTCTAGTGTTGAAAACACCTTCACCTTGTTCCTGGTATGTGCCAGAGTTCCTATGGGGAAGCCCAATCGCAGCACCATGCAGGGAGCTTTAGAGATCAGACGCACCAGATAGAAGGAGACAGGCGGCAACTCAGAGGCACTGTGGGAATAATGCTCGTTAAAACACTGCTAAACTGCTCCGTAAATTTGCCAAATAAACTGTGGATGAAACGGTGTTATTTTAGTATCATTGAGACACTATTATAGTTTGTATTAATATTTTGAATCAGTTTTTATTTGTATATTTTCCATTTTCATTTTAATTAGTTTTAGTAATTTTGTGTTTTTTTGACATTTTTATTAATATTTTGAATAGGTTTTTATTCACAATTTTATCTCATTTTAATAGAAATTTTAGTACATTTATTGTGTGTTTTTGTCATTTTTAGTAGATTTTTTAAAATATATATTTTAATGCATCATGGTAAACTAAATTAAAAATGAGAAATGTCACCTTGGCAACTAGCTGAAATAAAAAGGTTTTTATATTATATGTTGTTTCAGTTAATATTTATTTTATTTCAAGTACTGGACATTTTTCTCTTTTTTTGTTTTAGTTTTGGCTTTAGTTTTAGTTTCAGTTTTAGTTTACTGTAATAACTCTGGGATGAAACGCTGTCACATACATCGAAAAAAAAAAATCTAAAATAAAATAAAACATATCATATTTGATGAAAAAAATTAATGAAATTAGAAATGTTGCCTTGGCAACTAACTGAAATAAATGTTGAAGTACAAAAATTACTAAAACTAAAGCCAAAATAAAAAAATAATTAAAGCTATATAGAAATACCTTAAAAATGACCAAAGCATATAACAGAAAATACAAAAATCATAATGAAATGTAAAAATAAGAGTTAATTCAAAATATCAATAAATAATATAATAGTTAAAAAAATTATCAAATAAAATGACACAGGTCAACTAAAATGTCTGAATGTGGGAAATATATCTGAATCTAGTGTGGGAATAATGTGAATATAAATATTAGATGAAAACTTAAAAATTAGAAATGTTGTCTTGGCAACTTACTGAAATAAATATGTTAAAGTTGAAGTATAAAAATCACTAAAACTAAAGCTGAAATAAAAATCAATTAAAGCTATATAGAAATATTTCTATATAGCAAATAACAAAAAATATATAATGAAAATGTAAAACATTTAAAAAAATTAAATAAAAGCTCATTCAAAATATAAATAAATAATATAACAGTTGAAGGCTACTAAAATAACACTGGTCACCTAAAAATGTCTAAATGTGGGAGAAATGTCTAAATAATGCTTGTTAAAGCACTGCTAAATTGCTCTGAAATTTGGCAACTGAACTACACATGCACCTGTAAATAAGTTTGACGTATGAGTATCCCTCCACCAGGACGAAACTGCTCCAGTCCCTGAGCAGCGAGGTGAGCGCCGAGTGAGAGATGCGACACTGGATGGTACCGAAGCGACCGTTACTGCCAGCGTTGTGAACGTGCTTTGGGACCGGGCTGAACAGAGAGACACACACAGCAAAACAGAGTCAGGAAAACAGTTTACAGCCATTGGGATTTAAAGAACACTGACATTTTCATACCAACTCAAATTAAAATTTTTGAAGTAGCTTTCCCAACACTAGCAGGACTACGCTATATTAACCACTGAACAATCCAGGCTGTGTTCACTCACACGTCATGCTCCAGAAGGATAGCGATGCGATGCATGTGCAGCCAGCGCTGCCAGAAGTTGGCGTCCATGGACAGGATGGGCTTCCAGTAGGAGGCAAACTGTGATTGGCTGGAGTCTTTAGAGCCACTGTGCTGGAGGGAGAGGACCTGATGGAGAACAGGATTGTGTTTAGCATGTTAATATCACCAAAACACAACAAAAATATGAAGCTTAATGTACTACACTACTGTTTATGTAATTTAAGAGACGCTTTTTTCCCCACCGTTTGGGTTCAGTATGATTTTTAATGTTTTTGAAAGACGTCTCTTCTGCTCATGAGGGCTGCATTTATTTGATCAAAAATACCGTAAAAACAGTAAAATTGTGAAATATTATTATAATTCCAAATGGCTGTTTTCTATGTGAATATGTTTTGAAATGTAATTTATTCCTGTGATCGAATCTGAATTTTCAGCATCATTACTCCAGTCTTCAGTGTCACATGATCTTCAGAAATCATTCTAATATGCTGATTTGCTGCTCAAGAAACATTTCTGATTATTAGCAATGTTGAAAACAGTTGTGCTGCTTTATATATTTGTGGAAACTTATTTTTATTTTTCAGGATTCTTTGATGAATAGAATGTTTATTTGAAACAGAAATCTTTTGTAACATTATAAATGTCTTTGCTGTCACTTTTGATCAATTGAATGCATCCTTGGTGAAAACAAATCATGCTGGCCCCAAACTTTTGGACTTTGTAGTTTTGCGCTAACACTCACCGGTGTGGTGGATCCAGGTGGGATGTAAAACAGAGGAACCCCATTTTTCGTGCTTTCGGGGATGGTGTAGTGTTCTGGGATTGAATTAAAGGACTGCAGGTGCACCAACATCTGGTCTGTCTGATTTATGCTGTTGAGGAGAAGCAATATACAGCATTACTCTACATCATCAAACTAAAACCGACAGCAGAGTATCTAAAATCATTCAAGATAAGACCTCTGCAGTGTGTTCCAGAAGCGGCGGATGACAGACGTCCGGTAGGGGCTTGTGATTGGTTTCCGCATGGTGCAGCTGATGTCATGGAGGATGTCGTAGCTGCCCTCTATGGTCACCTCCACCCAGGTGGTGCGTTTGACTGGATTCAGGGGCCAGGATGCCACGGCAAGGTACTCGACACGCATGTTATGCTTCCAGAGGAGGACCAGCTTCACCTCCAGCTGACTTCCTCCTTATACAGACAGATTAGATGATTATTTTAAAATCCCAATAAGCTGCATTAAACGCAAAGCTGGTGTCATTTATATATGATCATTACAGAAGCATATTTGAACACCTGACCTTATGAGGTTGAAGTACCTTTAGTGATGTTGATCTCTCGGATGGTGTATCCCTCTCGCAGTCTGATGGACAGGACACTGATCAAGTCAGCGTGCACTTCCTTCTCCGTGTGTTTCTTCCTGCGCATCACTAAGGCAGGGTTTCCACTGGCCGACACCAGGTGTTCATTAAAGAGCCTGTGCTGGGAGACTACAAACACACAGATGAGCCATTACAGCACTGTTTACATTGCATTATGCTAAACCTAATAATAATAAAAATAAATTCATATAAATATGTATACGGTCGCACTTTATTTTAAGGACCAATTCTCACTATAAAAGAACTATTAACTACCACTTTTGCCTCAATAAACTCCTAATTTGCTGCTAATTATTTATTAGTAAACCCGCTTAGGTTGTTAAGTTTAGATACGGTGTAGGATTAAGGGATCTAAAATATGATCATGCAAAATAAGGCATTAATATGTGCTTTATAAGTACTAATAAACAGCCAATATGCTAGTAATATAAAAACAGCAAGAAATTTTACTATATATGGTCACTTTGCATACCAACCAATCAAATCCTAGCTGCATGTAGATGTTTTAAAAGTGAAATTAAAATCAGTTGTGGTTCCCTGCAGTCAGATGCTTCATTTCACAAATGATTTAACAACTTCAAATGAGGATCATATGACATATGAACTAACTTTTGAGCTCATGAGCTTTTATGAAATTGCCTTAAATGCCATATGAACTAAGCTTTACTGTGAGGCAGAACTGAAAGTGCACAGACAGGGCTGATATACTGAGCGCTGAGAGCTCTGGGATTGATTTCTTTGTATGTGTGGTGAATTAACAGAGTGTTTTAAATGAACAGAGCAATCCTCTCTTTGACATTTTCAAGGACTCAAACATCTCTGAATACTTCCCATCCTTCTCTGTGTTTCTCAGATCTCATAAAAAAAACAGAAACTGTGTAATCCCTGTTTTAGACATCCACAGGTATCTACATTAGTCTCAAGTAATGTATTTGGACACTTTTGTCACACTCAGTGCTGTTACTGTTAACTAAAACTGTTAATAATTATTTTAGTAATTGAAAAATAGCTCAAATAAAATAAAATATGAATATTACATTTAATAAAAAAAAACTTTAAAGAAAATTAGAAATGTCGCCTTGGCAATTAACTGAAAAAAAAAGTTTAATTTGAATTACTAAAACTAAAAGTGAAAAAAAAATTTAAGCTATACAGAAATAATATTAAAACTACTGAATACTGAAAATAAAATAGAAGCCAATTTAAAGTATTAATAAGTACTACAATAGTATAAACAAACCTAAAACACTGGTCACTTAATGTCTGAATGTTATTGTATTACTTAAAAAAAATATGAAATCAAGTGGCTATTATTTCAAAGATACTGCAGGCACATTTCACAAGGAAAACCATGGACAGTTTGAAATGCTAAAACAATCAGCCTAGTGTTGAAAATGAGAGTCATTATTGTGTTTGTTTGTGGTTAGTGTATGATGTTGATGGTTACACCTGTGGTTCCTCTGCTAGGACAAACTGTGTGAACCTGAGGAGAGCTGACTTCCTACAGACACTAGAAATGACCAAAACAGCAGCTACAGCATACAGATTTGATCTTCAGACACTGTTTAGGTGTCAGTGTTGAGCTTACAGCAGTAGTACTCTGGGTTCATGGACTCGCCGGTCCTCAGGAAGGAGTATGTGAGGAAAGCGCGGTGGTAAGCGTTCATCTCATCGCCTCTAGAGTCAGACTCTGGACACATGGACAGGTAGGAGCCAAAGGTTGCCATGGAGATGAACTTCATCAGCTCCACGTTGGGGATGTAGCCAAAACTACAGTCGTAGGAGTAAGCGTCGCCCACCTGAGGGAAACGCATCAAAATAAAAATAAATGCTATGCTTTATAACAGACGACATTTCAGACCTGTTACAAACATACTGCATTTACACTACAATTCAAAAGTTTGAGAGAGTTTTGAAAGAAATGAATATTTTATTCATCAAGGATTCATTAAACTGATTTATAATGTTACAAAAGATTTCCATTTTAAATAAATGCTGTTCTTCTGAAACTTTTATTCATCAAATAATCCTGAAAAATAAAATGCATCACAGTTTCCACAAAATCATGAAGCAGCACATCATTGATAATAATCAGAAATGTTTCTTGAGCAGCAAATCAGCTTCTTAGAATGATTTCTGAAGGATCATGTGACACTGAAGACTGGAGTAATGATGCTGAAAATTCAGCTTTGCATAACCGGAATAAATTACATTTTTAAATATATTGAAATTGAAAACAGCTATTTCAAATTCTAATAATATTTCACAATAATACTGATTTTACTGTATTGTAATCAAATAAATGCAGCCTTGGTGATGAGCAGAAGAGACTTCTTTCAAAAACACTAAAAAAATCTTACCGACCTTAAACATTTGTAAATAGCATTATTTCTAATATTTGTGGCAGGTAGAGTGAAATGTCAAATGGATCTGAGCAGCACCTGGACAAACGAACAGGCAATGGTTCCACTTCTCAGCTGGTTCAGTAGTGTTTCACACACAGCTACATCAGGAACACTCGTCACTCCATCTGTAATGATTATTATTCCTGCAAACCAACACAAAAGACTACTAACTACACAAGCACTTCATTTACAACCATTTCTGCACTTATTATAATGCCAACTTAGACAGGAAGAGACCACATGACTGACCAACCACAGTTTGTTTTGGTCTTGCGTGCCATTTTGCCATAGGTTAAAGCCACTAACACTAAACTATGTTAATGTAGTAACTAGCTCTTCTTTAAAAGCACGGTGGGACAAAGGATGCACTTACCAGCACCAGAGTTTGGAGGCAGGAGTTGCAGAGCGAGAATCCCCTGCCTCACCATACTGACCAGCCCAACATCAGCCGTCACCATGGAAACCCCCGGCTTCCTCTGAGACAGTTCCTCCATTGCATCATTAGAGAAGGACTGATAGACAGATCCACTGAACTGAAGAACAAACAAACATACAAACATGTTTTCTAACGGAACATTTCAAGTTCAAAAGTTTGGGGTTGGTAAGATTCTTTAATGTTTTTGAAAGAAGTCTCTTCTGTTCACCAAGGCTACATTTATTTGATCGAAAAGACAGCAAAAGCGGTAATATTCTGAAATATTATTACAATTTTTAATTCTCTTTGAATATATTTAAAAATGTAATTTATTCCTGTAATGCAAAGCTTAATTTTTTTTTTCAGCATATCATAATCATTACTCCAGTCTTCAGTGTCACATGATCTTCAGAAATCATTCTAATATGCTGATTTGCTGCTCAAGAAACATTTCTGATTATTATCAATGTTGAAAACAGATGTGCTGCTTCATATTTTTGTGGAAACCGTGATACGTTTTATGTTTCAGGATTCTTTGATGAACAGAAAAGAACAGCATTTATTTGCAATAGAAATATTTTATATTTTACACAATTCAATAGAAATATTTTAATTATAACATCATAAACGTTTTTACTGTCCATGTAATAAATTCTTGCTGAATAAAACTGATTTCTTTCAAAAAAAAACAAAAAACTTTTGAACAGCAGTATATGACAAGACAGAATAAAATTATTAAACAAAATACATTATTAACATTATTTAAGCAACAACCTATGACAGCTTGTGCTGAATTATTGCAGTATATCACTAAACATTGGTGTCTTTTATCATATTGTTGTAGCTCCCATTTTATAAAAACAATAATCCTCTAGTGGTTGTGCATTACAGTGATTTTATCATGGTTAAGAAGCTCATTTTCTGAACCATTATAAAATGCTGTCATCATTTACTCACCATCAAGTTGTTCCAGACCTTTACGAATTTCTTTTATTCTTCAAAACAGCCTCTTTTGTGCTCAACAGAAGAAACTCATACAGGTTTGGAACAAGTGGAGGGTGATTAAATGATGCCAGAATTTTTATAATTAGTTGAACTATCCATTTAATTTTAGTAAAATTGCTGTACTGCAATGCAATATGGCTTCTTTCTGCATACTGATTTATTGTCAGTATTAAAACCACAAGCGAGCTGCTCTTGCCTGATTGTGCTGCTGCTGTAGGACGTCAGCGATGCTGCTCTCCACGGCTCTCAGCTGCTGATAGATCTGAAGCAAGAACTGCTCCAAATCCATACAGTCCAGCTGACAGCCCTGAACCAACACCTGACAGGCAGAGTCATGGGATATAACTGATCAGAGAAAAAAAAACAGCCAGCTAATGCACGGTCATAGATTCACAAAGACCTGAGATCCAGACCTGATGAGAACTAAGGCCAATGATGGAGGAATACGCCAGAATAGTGATGAAGATCTCTGGCTGGAACATGTGATCAGTTCCTGGGACTTTAAAGGGTTTTGCCAGACCAATCAAGCACCGAGACAGAGCGTGGAAGACTTCATCAAAGATCATCTCTCCTGTGCTGTCATCCTGAAAACAGACAGCATATGACTTTGCACTCTTCAAACAAGGGCTACACTTTATTTTAAGGTGTCCTTGTTACAGTGTAATTATACGCTGAAGTACTATTTAGTAAGTAATATTACTATTGATGTTATAATAGAGTAATATTTATTAACTATATGGTTAGGATTAGGGTTTGGCTTAGGGTTACTTGCATGTAATAATGCATAATTAATTGCTATTATAATAGTAATTACATGTAACATGTGTAACAAGGACACCTTGAAATAAAGGGTTACCAAAACAAGTCACTGAATGTGATGACGATGACGGTCTCGTACCACTATCCCGGTGGACGGGCTCAGGTCCAGCTCGATGATGAAGCGGTACCTGCGCGCCAGGAAGGTGACGTGTGTGGAGGGAACCAGCAGACACGGGCAGGACGAGGAAGGAGAGTCGGGCTGCCATCCTTTCGGGAGGACGCTCAAAACATCCAGCTCGTTCTCTGACTTCAGCTGACGGACACACACAGACACAGAGATGGGATACAGTGTCATGTGATCCATGAAGATCTGAACTGATGCGATTCAGCACAAAAACTGAACAACAAAACTGCTGTTGTTCCAGTACAAGCCTTCAAGGTAAAGAAGGAAGGCCTGAGACATGCATTTAAGGATAATTAAACAAAGAAAGAATATATTAAAGCAGGACGGTTAATTGACTGTCATTTGGCCATTTAAGGATTATTACATTAGCTGGTAATCATGTCTGCTTGGACAATTAACAGGAGTGGAATTTTGGTCAATTTTGAGTAAATATTGTGTAAATAAGCATTTCATTTCATGCAATCTCCTTTTCTGTCATTAAAATTAGTGCTGTCAAAGGATTAATCGCGATTAATCACATTGAAAATAAACGTTTTTGTTTACATAATATATGTGCGTGTACTGTGTATATTTATTATGTATATATAATTACAAACTCATACAGTATATATTTTAAAATTTAAAAATGTATATATTTATATTTAACTGATATTATATATAAATATATTTAATATAGAAATATAAAATTTTTCTTAAATATGTACATGCATACAATAAAACCAGCGAGAATATTTATTTGTAAGATTTTCTCTTTAGTTGATTCATCACCTGATAATTTGTGTTGTTGTGACAGTTTGCTAAGTGTGAAGACCAAAGCGATGCCTAATATTTAAAAGTGCAAACTCGCGCATTACCTTAAACATGTCTAAATCTGTGTAAAATTAAGATTCGGTTAATGTGCGGATCTAATTCACTTCAACCTTGACCTTGTTACATTCAGCAATCAACACAGTACATTATGTAAACAAAAACTTTTATTTTGGGTGCGATTAATCGCAATTAATCATTTGACAGCACTAATTAAAATAAATGTGCATTACCATTTAAAGCTCTGGGGTCAGTAAGACTTTTTTTTAAAGAAACTAAAACTTTTATTCAGCAAGGATGCATTAAATTGATCAAAAGTGATGGAAAAAGGCACTTATAGTAACTTTTGGACTTTCTAAAAAAGAAAAAAAAAATCACGATTTCCACAAAAAAAAAATTATTTCTTAAGCAGCAAATCAGCATATTAGAATGATTTCTGAAGATCATGTGACACTGAAGACTGGAGTAATGATGCTGAAAATACAGCTTTGCATCACAGAAATAAATTACATTTTAACATATATTCACATAGAAAACAGTTATTTTAAACTGTCAAAATATTTCACAATATTACTGTATTTTTGATCAAATAAATGCAGCCTTGATGAGTAGAAGAGGCTTCGGTCAAAAACCTGCCAGCCCCAGACTTTTGGACAATAGTTTATCAGAATGAAATCACCTATGAATCACCCTTTTCTCGAGATCATTGGTCTCAAACTCAATTCCTGGGCCATAGCTCTGCACAGTTTAGCTCCAACCCTAATCAAACACACCTGATCCAGCTAATCAGTGTCTTCAGCATCACTAGAAACTTCCAAGCAGGTGTGATTTGGAGCTGGTTGGTGCTAAACTCTGCAGAGCTGTGGCCCTCCAGGAATTGAGTTTGAGACCACTGCTCTAGATATTCACACTGAGCCATTAGTCGATTACGGAATCAAACCAAACCCGGTCTCTCTCACCAGCTCAGACAGAGGACTGGGCCGAACGGCCTGATTGAGCCGGTCGAGAAACCAGGACAGACGCACGTTGCGTGAAATCCTGTACTCCTCTTTCATCAGCAGGTACACCTGCTCAGCCTCCTCCACCTTCAGAGAGAAAAACACCAGAAAACAGCCAACAAGGGAACATGCATTTGCATGTCAATACAGGAGCAAATTCCTGGATAGAAAGCTGGTCTTTGGTTCTTGGCATGAGAAATAAGCTGCTTTTTTGACAGATACACGGACAACATTAATCCTGATGATGTTGAATGTGTTGTAGTTACGCTGCACAGCATATGTTCACCATCTAACTTCAGTTTCACATATACAACATCATTAAGATAATAAAAAATAAAGGTCCTTTTACATGTTTACAAATACACAGGCTAAAGAGAATATTGTACGTGTGTATAAAAGTACCGTACAAAATCATTTAACACACAAATGCTAATTCTATGTTTGTTGGTTTGCATTTTTCTAAATTAATAGTGGCCCAGGATTCTTAGTTATCCTTCCAGAAACAAGTAAAAAGTAGTATAGAGCTAAGCAAAAAACACCAAACAAAGAAACACAATTGTTTATCATACAAAAGAAAACTAAATCAAGAACAATAGTTTGACTGTCAATAGTTTGAGTGTTGAAAGACACTGCAGTGTTTATAACAATTTATATCCGCTGCTGGACAATTTTAAAAAGCTTCAGCTACATTTGAAGAAGAATCGATTGAACTAACGTTACATGCAGTGTGTCCACATTTAATTTCACTGAAGTATATGAAGAGCATGTTGTTGTTGTCTGAGGGAGGGGCTGCAGACTCATGACAGAACTGCATTAAACTGATTTACTTCCAACCTCCGCCTTAAACCTCTCCCAAATATCTCTTATTTAGTTAACAGGTTAGAAAAAGGCATTCGGTGCAGGAATAACAGAATAAAAGTCTCACAGGTTTTCTTAAAATCAACGGTTTTTCTCCTGTTCTGTTTATTTGCTCTGCTACTTAAGCAGTAAACAATTCCGAAGGAACTGAACAAAACAAACAAACTCGGTCCAAACAAGAGTTTAGTATACCTCGTTGTCCTGTCTGTCTGCCATGCCGTGCTTCTCATTACTGGCAGGTTGATTTTGAGCGCGTTTTAGAGGGTTTGTGTGTCAATATCTGTAAACTGTAGTTCATCTGACTGCAGCCGCTTCACTTCCCGTTACCGAATTCAAAATAAAAGCCCTGATATACGTTTATAAATACACAGAGAAAATTGTATATTCGCATTAATTATAATATTATTATTTTTAATGTAAGTCTAACTTATTAAATACATTTCGAGAGAAAAGGTGAAATGCAAATTTATGTATTATTCCTCATATACGTTTATAAATACACAGAGAAAATTGTATATTCGCATTAATTCTAATGTTATTATTTTTAATGTAAGTCTAACTTATTAAATACATTTCGAGAGAAAAGGTGAAATGCAAATTTATGTATTATTCCTAATGAGTTTGTTTAACGTTAGTCCCATGTGCTAAGAAGTATTTTGGACTTCATCTTTTAGGCACAGAGATCAACTAGAAATATAAAAAGTTGAGATCTTAGTCTACATTTTCTTCTGATAATTAAATTCGAACAAACAGACTACAATACTTGTCTCAAAATGATGCGGCGATTCTATTTACAACTAACGTTGTATATTAGAAAAGTTTAGGAACCGTTCTCTCGGGCGCGTTTTGAAAGCCGGACTCCTTTTGCTGCTGCAAGTGTTTGTTTACTTCCGCTTTATTGTGCCGTTTGGACAGTAGCTTTGAAATGCAGGTAAATTGTTAAATGTTTTTACTTTAAGTTTATTTTTACAGCTTTTTCATAAAAACTCACTTACAATTAATGACGCAAGCACGCATGCAGTTTGCGAAAATAGACCTTTTTTGCGGTTTTGTATAGAATGCTGGCATGCTCTAAACTGCAGGAAAGAAATGTAGCATTATTGTTATTTATTAGGTCAAGTAAGAGCTGATGGTGGTGTGTTTGTGTTTTATTTCGACAGCAGCGGGAGGAGAAGCAGCTGGAGGCGTCTCTAGAGTCTCTGCTCGCTCGCGTGGCTCATCTCAAAGGTTCCCTGCAGAGCTTTATATTGAAACTGGAAAACGAGCATGACAGACTCACATGGTGAGTGAGAACTACAGATCTTTCCTGATGAACTCGCAATGGATCTGTCACTATATTGACGCGGATGTTTTGAATCCAGGCCCTCAGTGCTGGATAATTTCGCCCTTCTGTCCGGGCAGCTGAACACCATCAATAAGGTGTTAAAAAACGAGAAGACCCCATCCTACAGGTCCCAGGTCATCATCCCCCTGCTGCTGTCTCCTGATCGAGATGAAGAGCTGGTGGTGAGTGTATTCATCGAGTCACTCTGCTTATGACAGCGTCACTGGCTTTTTAAGATGCTGCTACTTCTGTTACAGAAACTAACAGAGCAGCGGGTGCCTGTGTTCAGCCATGAGATTGTGCCAGATCATCTCAGGACCAAACCTGACCCGGAGGTGGAGGAACAGGAGAAACACCTGAGCGCCGAAGCGGCCCGGATCGGACCTGAAGTAGCTCAGGTAAACAAACACACAAGCCTTCTTTACCTGACTTAACAAAGCAACACCTTAGCAAGCATCTAGCAAGGCCTAAATCAAATCCCTGTCTTCAGAAGACACAGGTATTCAGACAAAAATGAGGCTTCTGTAACCTTCAGGTATACCCTTGTGATTGTTGGTGTTTAAAACAGATCGAAAAACAATAAGCGTCAACTTTTTTTTTCTTAATGAAATTAATGTATTGCATTTTCATTAAATCATATGTATTCTTTAAAATGTTGTCTTTCATGGTACTAGACAATATTCACATCTATTAACCATTTATTTCTATATAATCATTTTTATATAATTTGTATATAACACACATATTAGAAATTTTTTTTACTTTTTTATTTTATATAGTGGGAAATAAAGCTTAAATGTGCATATATATATATATATATATATATATATATGCACACACACATACATATATGAGAGAGGACTGTGTAGTCCCTAGTTGTTGCTTATAAGAGTATTTGCATACATAATTACTGAATTTTATTTTATTTGCTACTTTATTTTGGTTGATTTGTATATTATACTCCAAAAAAAATATTTTTTTTTTACCTTTTTTCACATTCGTTTTTGATAATGAAAATCAATGTAACTATTTTTCTTAAGACCATTTAGCCTTTTCTAATAATAATGATGCTGAAAATTCAGCTTTGATCACAGCAATTAATTGCTTTTTAAATATTACAATAGTAAACAGGTATTTTTTCACACCTGTTCATTACTGTTTTTGCTGTATTTTTGAAATAAATGCAGCTTTGGTGAGCAGAAGAGACTTCTTTAAAAACAAAACATATTACTGGCCCCAAATTTCGAATGGTAGTGTATTTTCATAAAGAATAATTTAATTTAAATTATTTTTTAATATGCTTATTCAATATTTTTTTTAGTGTTCATATTGCAAATACCACCAAAGTCACCATTC